AGCCAATCAGGATTGGCGTAATGAGATTGATGCTTCTGTTTGCATACGCGTTGAGGCGCATCCCATAGTGAGACATCTCACTTCATGTTACTCTGAGAACTGGGGTTACGTAAGTAACCTATAGTTTTCTGGTCTGATAACTAAGGATGTGTGTGTGCTGACAGACGTGGATTGACTTCCGCCTTGCATGGAATGAGACAGAGTTTGACGGCATCGGGGAGCTGCGTCTGCCTTCCAAAATGTTGTGGCTGCCGGAGATCGTACTGGAAAACAAGTGAGATTTTTCCCTTTTTTTTTTATATAAATGAAAAAATCACAAATTTTAAAAGAATAAAAATAAAAATATTCAATGAAATTATGAGGTAATTAATTTGCGAGAGAAAAGTTGTTATTTCTAGTGTTAAAGTGGAACACTGGAACAAAACTATTCTCTAGGATGAAAGTGGTACATTTCCTAGAAAAACTGGATTTTCTGACATTATGAAATCATGGATCTGTCTCTAATTAGTGGTTTGGTTTCTTACATTTTTTTTGTGCAAATTATGACTTTATTCATTAACAATTTATTTTCATTTTCATAAATGTACCCTTTTGTAGGTTGCAAAGTCTGGTTTTGTCTTGAAAATGGGCTGAATGTCCAATTTTAGATGCGCTTCTAAAAGAGAGCCCACATGCTATGGTTTTGACAGAGCTTTAATGAGACATAACCATCTCGACTCATACATGCTTTTGAACATTTCAAATGAGTTGCCGTTGACTTGTACACATTTTAATTTAGTTTCTCAGGACTTAAAGAGCTTCCTGTCTATGTAAACTCCACGATATGACTGAAACCTCCAGAATAGCTACTTAATGGACATTGAGTTTAAATTGGTAAACTACAAATTGTTCAATTTCCATACATTACATTCAACCTCGTTTTGATTTTTCTTTCTCCTCCAGTAACGACGCCCAGTTTGAGGTGGCGTACTACAGTAACGTGGTGGTGTATTCCAATGGTCTCTGCTACTGGTTACCGCCCGCCATCTTCCGCTCCTCCTGCTCCATCAACGTCAACTACTTCCCCTTCGACTGGCAGAACTGCACGCTCAAATTTGTGTAAGACGCCTAAACCACACAGTGTCACGGTAACAAAAAAAAAAAAAAAACTGCTAGGTTTGCATGTTTAAGATCAGGTTATCTGATTTTCAGAGTATTGTCTAGAGATCGCGGGTACAAGCGGCCGAGATGGGTTTTCTCCGCAGGGTGGCTGGTGTCTCCCTTAGGGATAAGGTGAGAAGTTCGGTCATCCGGGAGGGACTCGGAGTTGAACCGCTCCTCCTTCGCGTCGAATGGAGCCAGTTGAGGTGGTTCGGGCACCTAGTTAGGATGCCACCTGGGCGCCTCCCTAGGGAGGTGTTCCAGGCACGTCCAGCTGGGAAGAGACCAAGGGGTAGACCTAGAACCAGGTGGAGGGATTATATCTCTTCGCTGGCCTGGGAGTGCCTTGGGACCCCCCAGTCAGAGCTGGTTGATGTGCCAGGGAAAATAAAGTTTGGGGCTCTCTGCTGGAACTGCTACCTCCGCGACCCGACCACGGATAAGCGGGAGAAGATGGATGGATGGATGTCTAGACTAGACAATAAGTTTTGAACTTTCTAAATAAGTGAGCATCAGGATTTATCTCATTGTTTGATTCTAAAGGTGCACACATTCACCAAACTAATCTCTGAAAGCTCAGCCTCTAAACCTCAAATCATAATCTTACACCAAGATACTGAGGATCTCTTACCTAATATATTTAAACCAAGAAATCACAAATATTAACATGTTGACCAGACATTTGTGCATCGAAAATGCTTTGTGTCTTTCTTTTAGTCGATAAATCGAATACATGTTTTCTTTAGGCTATTGCTTATCGCATTGTATCTTACACTGTCATTACCCATGTTGCTTTGCAGCTCTCTGACCTACAATGCCAAAGAGATCAAGATGAATCTTAAGGAAGAGTGGTCTGAAGACGGAAACACTGTCTTGTGGTTTGTGGAGTGGATCATCATCGACCCTGCCAGCTTTACAGGTGAGTGTCCTCCACATCTGTCTCTCATCATTTAATAAATAATAAACCAGCGAGAGATTTCACTTAAATATCTTTTGTATATTTTATTCGTAAGTATATCTGATGTTTTGTTGTTTGGTTTGCACTGTGGTAAAAGATAAATAAATAGCGATAATAGTGGTTAGAATAATAAAAGAAACAAATATTTTAAAAAAAACACAACTTGTTATGAACAACTGAAAATTATGAAATAGCACAATATCCTCTCTTTTTCAATTGATTTTAATGTTGTTAATTATGTGCAAGAGATCCTGAAAATATGTTTGGTATCTACTGATGTAAATGATATTAAAAAAAAACAAAAACGTTTTTGTTCACAAAGTCCCCCTCAGGTTTGAAAAATATCCCATTTCCAGTCTCTTCCATGTGAACCTTATTCAATGTCTGCTTCACCTCCTCTATGATTTTTGCTGTTATTGGACAGAGAACGGCGAGTGGGAGATTAGGCACCGCCCGGCCAAGAAAAACACGTACGAGCACATCCCCATGGAGAGCAACAAGCACCAGGACATCACCTTCTACCTGATCATCAAACGCAAGCCGCTATTCTACATCGTCAACATCATCATCCCCTGCGTGCTCATCTCCTTCCTCGCATCCCTGGTCTACTACCTGCCGGCTGACAGTCAGTCGCATTATAATACGTATCAATGAATCAAAGTCACTGTTGAATTCAAACATTTGATCGGAACATGCATACGACATGCTTTTTTTTTCACTTGGCAGCACGTTTTATATTGAGATACATATTCTTCTTTTTTGTTATTTCTAGGTTCTGATCTTTTAAGAATGTAGAAATCTATATTGTTTATTAATTAATTGAAATGCTGTAATGTACATTTGTATTGATTGATGAATTAACATCATCATCATCATCCCCTGGCTTCACTCTTATACCTTCCTCTTGACATTCAGTAATAACAATAATAATACATCTAATTATGCAGAGTTTTTATGAGCAGTCAACCCCCACAATAAAATTACATTTCATATTAGCATAGGTTCAACAGTAAGTGCATATTCACTGCTTTGAAATTGCTTTTTTTCTCACCTCCTGCAAGAAGTTCTAGTTTTATATGGAGATTATTGGAAAGTAGATGGAGAAGTTTGTTGGATTCTGAAGAACCTATTTGCATTTGTTGTTATTTCACTGAACTGTGTGTGTGTGTGTGTGTGTGTGTGTGTGTGTGTGTGTGTGTGTGTGTGTGTGTGTGTGTGTGTGTGTGTGTGTGTGTGTGTGTGTGTGTGTGTGTGTGTGT